TAATTTTGAACGAGGTACAGAGGGTTTACACGAAAAGTAAAAAGTTATTTGAACTTTGCCAGTCCAGGCAAATAAGCCATGAAAAGGGCTATAGCCTGCAAAAATCCCGGGTAGCAATGTTTTCATCGATTCCTATGTAATTTTTGACGCTGAATCCGAATTTCAACTTTGCGCCATTATATTCGGACCGGAAAGTTGCCAAATTTGGCAAAAATGGCCTAAAATCGGACTTTTTTCCGGATTATGGCCTGTAACTTGCCAAAAATTGATCTGACGATAAAATTAGTTATTTTCAGAAATAAAGTTCGTTAAATTTCCCATAAAAAAGTTTCTATACCTTTTTTTGCTCAATGCAAAATCAAGCGCGCTGGCGGGCTCCGAACTTTGAAAAATGAGCAAAAATTGTGTTTTTCGCGGTTTTTGCCCGATGTCTCCTGTTTTAATCGTCCGACGAGTAATTTCTGGACAAATTAAGTGAAGATGATAAAATTTACACTTAGTGAAATGAATTGATGTAAATAATAAGGATAACCCAACACATTACAGTATGCGCAATTTTCGCACATTTTACAAAGTTCGGAGCCCGCCAGCGCGCTTGATTTTGCCTTGAGCAAAAAAGTGTTTGCGAACTTTTTTATAGGAAATTTAACGAGCTTTATTTCTGAAAATAACTAATTTTATCGTCAGATCAATTTTTGGCAAGTTACAGGCCATAATCCGGAAAAAAGTCCGATTTTAGGCCATTTTTGCCAAATTTGGCAACTTTCCGGTCCGAATTTAACGGCGCAAAGTTGAAATTCGGATTCAGCGTCAAAAATTACATAGGAATCGATGAAAACATTGCTACCCGGGATTTTTGCAGGCTCTTTTCCTTGTTTGCCTGGACTAAGGGTGTTTGCTACGAGCACCTTAATAATCGATTCCTAATCTTAATAACCATAGCTTCAAATGGAGAAATATCGATACTCGTTCATTCTCGCCTCGTCACTGATGATTACTCACCCAAGAAATGTCCTCAGAGCATCGGATGCACATTTTTCAGACACTCTCTGTATCGTCGCTTGCTAGGCGGAAGGGCGTTATTACGATTCAACGTAGCGAAATTGTCAGTCTTAAATTAAAATTCTGCGAGGAAACGGATGCCGCGACGTGTGCTTCTGGCCATTAAAAACCCCTTGTTTCTTTTGAAATGTCTAAAAGTTTACTTTTTCATGACTCTGGACGTTTTAATTGTCGCAATTATGCAAAAAACGCGTGATTTTAACTGAAGCTATGCAAAAATAACGCGATTTTGCTGGCTTTCCCATTCAAAAACACAGTCCAATCACGACCCGTCCGGCCGCGTGGTCGGAATGTTTCTGCAGCTGCGAACAGTGCTGTATTCTCGATAAAGACAACGTCAGGGAATAAAGGGAAAACAGGGAATTCTATTTTCTACTTTCAGTGGTAACCCTGTAGAGAGAGAACGGAGCTCTTTAATATTCCAGGTCATTGTTTTATTATCCTCCTTTTTACGACTTTCTCACCACTGCGCAGCGTCGGCGGCGGCGAAATGCAAAAAGGAAACGACACGACGGAGGAAACGGGGAAAAAAATGAGCGGTGCGAAATGGCCGTTGCCGTTGCCGGTGCGGCCGACCTTGACACAGATGTTATGACGTGTGAGCCCGAGCCGCGAGCAACTGTGCACCGAGATGATTACGGGCGTGCCGTAATCTCTAATGTGTAATGTGTGATGTGTAATTTGGACTCGCCTCTCGCCGCGTCTACTCGCCTCTCGCCGCGTCTACTCGCGCCGCGCCGCGCCGGTGATCGATTCCTTTTCCCCATTGTCAGATCTCCCGGCAACTCCAGATCCACTGCCTCGAGACATTCGATTGTTCGATTTGTCTTCGCGTAAAATCAATCAAATCGCATCGATTCTCGGGGTAGAATTTGACGGTCGAATCGCTTCTTCGAACCGGAGAATGATCGAAATCGGCGAACGACGAAAAGTTAACGCTTTATGTCAAATTTTGGCATTTTTGGTCCGTGATCGATTCCTCTTCCCGATTGTCAGATCTCCCGACAACTCCAGGTCGACTGCTCCGAGACATCGATTTGATCGTGCGATAATCGAAAAAATCGCATCGATCCCGGGGGTCGAATTTAATGGTTGAATCGTTTCTTCAAACCGTTAAACGATCGAAATCGGCGATCGACGAAAAATGAACGATTTATGTCAATTTTGGCATTTTTGGCCCGTGATAGATTCCTTTTCCCCATTGTCAGATCTCCCGACAATTCCAGATCCATATCGATTTGATTGTGCGATAATCGAAAAAATCCCATCGATCCTCGGGGTCAAATTTGATGGTTGAATCGTTTCTTCAAACTGGTGAACGATCGAAATCAGTGAACGACGAAAAATAAACGATTTATGTCAGATGTTGGCATTTTTGGCCCGTGATAGATTCTTTTTCCCAATTGTCAGGTCTCCCGACAACCCCTGATCGACTGGTTCGAGACATCGATTTGTTGGCGTAAAAAATCGAAAAAATCGCATCGATCCGGGGGGTCGAACTTTATGGTTGAATCGTTTCTTCAAACCGGCGAACGATCGAAATTGGTGAACGACGAAAAATAAACGATTTATGTCAAATTTTGGCATGTTTTCTCCGTGATAGATTCCTTTTCCCCATTGTCAGATCTCCCGACAACTCCAGATCGACTGCCTCGAAATATCGATTTGATTGCGCGAAAAATCGAAACAATCGCCTCAATCCTCCGGTTGAATTTGACGGTTGAATCGCTCCTTCAAACCGGTGAACTATCGAAATCTGCAAAAGATGTAAAATTAACGATTTATGTCAAATTTTGGCATCTTTGGCCTGAATCTTAGAAGAGGTAAAGGCCAGGATGTCTTGTCGAATCGTTCGTCGAACAAGTGTTTTTACTTCCTAATAGTGACCCAATCTGTGAAAAAGGGACTTCATGCTTCATTAAATGCGTTGACAGGTAGCGCCTTCCAAACTGTATGAATACTCCAAGCATCGCACCGTTTCCCCGATCTCTTGCCTCGCTCTCGAATTGCGCTCGCGAGTCTCTGCTCGCGAATAGCGATCAGTTTTGGGAAATTACTGTTTTATCAGAGGAAATTTGGCATCCTCTGAAGGTTCATACGGCGTTTATCTTTAGCACGGTAGTATGGTCGTTGCTTAACACTCCGAATTTATTTCGATTTGAGGGCTTTTCCATCCTATTCGGAAAATAATCCGATGGAGCAGTTCACTGAATTCAGGGTGTCTAGCGTCAAGATCTTCCCTATATTCCCGATTCTATCCGGATTTAAAGTCAATCAGGCTTTAATCCCGATTTCATCAGGATTTGAAGAAAAATCGGTCGTAAAATCAGGATTTGAGAAAAGTCGGCTGCCAGTGCCGGATCGGATTTTTTTTTTTTTTTTTTTTGCTTTCGCATAGGCTTATGTAGAAATTGTAATTTTTCTCCGCAAAAAATCAGGAGTTAGAAAAATTATGGAATTAGGATTTAGCAGTCAAAAATCAGGAAAAATCAGGATTTCATCAGGATTTCCCAAAATGAAAAAAAAAAACTATAGACTCCCTGGAATTGATCGACGGGCGTTGCGTTGCTACCTACCTCGTTGATCGCCGAAAAATCCCGCTCATATTTTCAGGGGCGACCGGTTGACGAACGCACCATTGACGACCCCTGTTTCAGCTCCCGTTTTGGTCGTGTGTGAACCCGACAGTAGGAGTTTTCGCGGACAACTTGGCAGCTTAATTTTTCAGTCGCTTCACTAACACAGTTTCCGATGCCCCGCCTTCCCGGCTCGACTCCTTTCATTCATCGGTAACTTGTCGCGGTTGGAGTCGGCCGACAACCGCGACCGGCCCGTCCGTCGCACAACGGCTCAACACGCTCGATTCTGAAGAATGTACGCTCATTTGACGCCGGAAAACGCGCTTGAAGGAACCGAAAAACTTTCAAAACTCGCCGCTCGCAATTGACCGGGCCGATTCAGGGTTGCCTCAGTCAGGGAATACCGTGAAATGCCAGGGACTTTTAAAAAGTCAGGGAAAACTTTGAAGTGTCAGGGAAAATGGCGAAAATGTCAGGAATAGGATAATGAGCACCTTCTAGAATGTGTTTGACATTTCTAACAACAAATTTTGCCCAAAAACTAATTATGCATTTTCGACCATCTGGCATTTCTTCAATTGTAAGGGAATTTCACCAAAATGTGTCAGGGAAATGTGAGGGAATTTCATTTTCTAGATTTGGTGGCAACCCTGCCGATTGCGCTCAGCATCAATGAGTGCCAAATTATCGAGAAATATGTTCCGTATAATGTCTACTACCATCGTCTGCCCATTATACTTTTAATTCTTTGCGTGGTTAGCAGAAAATGTGGGCATAGTAAGGAATACGTACTCGTATATTAAAGGGGTATACCCCAATAAATTGGGTTACTAACCCGAACGTTGTGGTACTACCCCAACTTAAGTTGCGGTACTGCCACAATTATTTAAAGTTGAATTTTCGTCCAAATTGCGAAAGACTGCTCAATTTTTCTTATGCCGCAATCACACGCTGAGTGTGAAAGCTAAATGTGGCTTGAATGTGGAAGTCATCGGCCTGATGCCTGAATTTTGCGCGCGACGCGCAAAATTCAGCTACGATACTCAGCAACTATCGGACTAATGTTGGATTTGTCTGAACTATTCAAGTAGATTTGATACACATCTGGATGAAAATAACTCGAACTTGCCAAATTTCAGCCGTTGGGCGATGACTGTTGACTTCCACATTCAGTTACGAAATTCAGCGTGTGATTGCGGCATCTGTGGAAATTTTGTTCCGAGATCAGGGAATATTGGTAAATATTGAAGCCCTCGTCGTTTACGATAAATTAACGGTGTGTATTCCGACTTCGATTTTCTGTATTCAAAGGCTGGTTTGTTGCTGCTGGTTCTCACGATTTTTGTTTTTCTGTTTCAGAGGAGAGCCTTGTCAAAATGACGGACACTAGCAAAGCAGATCCCCCACCGCAGACGAACGGTATCGATAACGACGCCGATGATGATGAACGGGGCAAAATGCGACCCGCGGATATCGACGCTGTAAGTTCTCACTCCTTATCCAGTGACGTAGATAGAAATTTTTAGGATCTTCAACCGCCGCACAGTGGATCTAGTCAATAGGAGAGGTCGGACCGAATTTGGTAACTTTAAACGCTTATAACTCCGTTCATACAAAACTTGGAGGTTTTAAAAGTGGTCCCATTGCTTTCCTCGTGAAATTTTCTTCAAAGAGCACCCCTTGAAATTTAAAATGTGGCGAAACAAACATCAAAATTTTCAGTTTTAGTAAAAAATTGTATGTCCGACCTATCTGTTGACTCGATCGAATGTGCACCGCCTGGCAAACTCAGTGAATCTGGGGAATAATCTCGAAAACAGAGTGAATTTTGATGCTCACCATAAGGCGGATCAAAAATTTTAAGTTCTGACTGCCTGAATGGTTTCAATACTGCTGAATTCTGTAATTCCTCGGTGCAAACACTGCTAAAATTCAGGAAAACACACGGAAAGTTCTAACAAGGAGTCTTGAATTTTGAAAACGCTCTATGCTCAGAATTCCTAAAACTTATCGGAAACTAGTTTTTTAGAGATGAAAGGGGGATGTCCGACCATCAAATCAGGGATTCTAGAAAAGTTTTAACTATTTAAAAATCTTATTTTTTGGCCTTGGACATAAGTGTAGAACTAGGCCAGGGTCAAGCATAAGTATCAATAATTGAATTGAGTTGTGCGAAAATAGACAATGTCCATTTTTCCCGTCGTGAATGTTTTGGGGTGGTAATACTTTACAAGGTTATATACCTACGCAATCATGAGATTGGTGTGAAGACTGAAGACTCGTTTTTGGGCTATATACCATTTCAATAATTGCATCGACCCTAGAAATTTTCGTTACACAAGAACCTCGCGAAGCTGGTAAAATGGATGCCCCCCCGGTTTTCGCAACCTTATTCAATTTAAAATTGTGGCAGCATTGTGAAGGATAAAAAACTTTGGCGTCCTATATAATTTTCAAAAGTGCTGATGTCTAAAAATTTTGAGAAATTTCTGAAAATTCTGCAATTTTTTTCAAATTTCATGAACACTCATGTATTTTGTCCCAGAATTTGTTCCTTCAGAAAACAGTATGGTTGATCGTTCAATAAAAATGAGATGGAACTTATTTTCGATTTCTTGATGAAGTAAACGTCCTCTTTGCGCAGCATGACTCCAATCCATTAGATTCGTTCTTAAGTATGTGATAATTTCTTTATTTGTTCTCAGGATATGCGAGAGATGGAAAGACGTAAACGAGTAGAAATGATAATGAATAGCCGGTTGTTTAGAGAAGAATTAGAACGAATTATCGAAATTCAAATGAAAGATGGCGGCAACGGACCAGCAGGACTGTTGCAACAAATATCAGACATTATGGGTGGACGAATTAATCCCACTGGGATGTTTAAAAGTAAGTTTTTCCAACTCTTTTCACCATTTGTAGCAAAATAAACTGAACATAATGGCTACCAGCGAAGACTAAACAAATTTTTTCCCTTTCATCCTCTTTCATAATTGAATCAGTGAGAACGAAAACCTACCGACTTGGTAACTCGAAAATGCGCAATTTTCATTAAAGACAATCAATTTTCGTACAGGTCATTGACATTAGCGCATCTGTTCCAACTTGGACCTTTCAAGTGTCCTTAAGTACTTGTCTCTCGGCACCAAAAATCTTTTTCTCATTGTCAGAGTTTTGTGTGTCGTGATTATTTTCATTTTTTCGAATTGGTGTGTTTTCGTTCTCACTGATTCAATTCACCTTGGCACTTACAAAAATTACTGTGCCATAGTGGATTTCGGATTTCGAAAATCAACCACCCAAGAGACCCCTCAAAATTTAATTGTTTTGCATGTATGCTTATCGATGGTAAAAATTGAAACTTTCAAACCATGTATCTCATTCGCGGTGATTACAAATCTCTCCTTTTGTTCTATTTTTTAAATCATTCTGTCAAGTTTTCTCAAAATTTGCTTTGCACAAAGGAGGAAAAAAATGAAGTTGAGTAGTTCTCTTTTTAAAAAATTAAGTATGATAGTAAGTCTGCGACATCACAAACTGTGGTACGAGGTTTGGAAGTTTCACCATTGCTGCGTATTTTATTAGTACAATGATAATGTGGCCTGAACCCAACCTTGATGAGAATTGAGTGCCAGTCGCTAAATTTAAGTTGCTCCAACAGACTTTAGCTACATGCATGATATTTTTTCCTATATTAAATGATCTACTCAATGCAACTGTAAGGATTGCCAAAAATCAGGGAGGGTGGTATAAAAAATCACTCTTCGAAGTCTTTATTACAAATACCTTGTGTGTCCGATTTATCTTCTCAGAATGAATCCTAAGACTTGTTTTTGATTTTTAAATTTCAGGCAGTAATTGTGTGGTGCCAATCAACGACATTCGAGGCGTTGAAAGTATGGGCTATGCCAAGGGTGAAAAACTTCTAAGGTGCAAATTAGCAGCTGTTTACCGGCTAATTGATCTTTACGGCTGGGCTCAAGGAATTAACAATTTAATCACTGTAAGTTTTCCCACAAAAAATCTTTTAAACCTTATTTTCAAGACGCTTTTTATCATGCATGTTATCGTTTTATCAAAATCGAATTCACCTCTGAATAATTACTTTTCGTAAACAGGCCCACTCCTGGCCTTAAAATTAAGAAAAATAATGCAAAATGAATTTCTGTTCTATCAATCGTTTTTTCAAATATGGAACTGTCTTTTCTACCTTGCAATTTTTGATCAAGGTCATGAAGGGTCCGAATTTTTGATGGTTATACGAGTCTCTTGACAAAAAACGAAGATAATTGTGCCTCTTCATCTATTTTACTTTCAATGTCGGCCTCTAGATAGCATGGGAGCCATGATTTTTTTCCTTTTCCTTTTCCTTTTCTTTTTTAAAGGTTGTAATTAAATATTTCTCTCTATTTTTACTTCAGGCCAGACTCAATCAGGAAGAGGAACACTTCATTGCCAACCCACATGGAATGCTTTACCACGAGTTGACTGCGTCAAGTTTGGTGAAGCTGGATATGCAAGGAAATGTAGTGGAATCGGGCACGACGAATTTCCCTGTCAATAACGAAGCTTTTCAACTACATGCTGCCGTTCATGCTGCCAGGCCTGACATTAAATGTGTCATCCATGTCCATACTCCTTCTCTATTAGCAGTAAGATACATCAGGATTTCCTTTTTTTGATATTATGCATCCGTGACCAACTATGAGAAAATGGACCTCGGTGCAGAAAAAATAGATATTGGCATATGAACATAGTCACCCAGAGAAATGTTTCTAACGTTTTTACTCACAAAGAACTTGAAAATGTTGAAAAAAGCTAAAGATACAGCATTTTGGAGTTAGCAGTTCTAATTAATTGTTCGGCCATATTTTCTGTCATTGTTTGCTCTGTTATGCACTGAGAAAATATTGTTTCCTTGTGTTCAATTGAAAGATAAAAAAAAAATATAAATAAATTAAGTCTTCAAGGCTTTGATGCCACTGACGAAGTTTTTATTAATTCTGGAAGCTCAAGTCAGTGTACATAGTCAAGAATAACCATTATGCTTGGAACTAGTTGTAGCGGAGCTTTGACATTGGGGGAGTTCTGCAATTAAATTTGTCAGTTCTGCAGAAGTTTCTTGAAAGCCAAGTAAGCAGAAACTTAGTCTTCATGTCTTCATACTTAACTAAGTCAGTGCGAAAAGAGAATGTAAGCCTGATTCTCTTCGGCTGCATTATCCTGACAGAGCTGCTATCGATAACTCGGTTTTAACAACAGTTTTCTCCCGGATTGATATGCATTAATTATTTTTTCCTGTATCATTGTTTCAGGTGTCATCTTGTTTAAGTGGGCTTTTACCAATTAGCCAAGAAGCCGTTTCAGTTGGTGAAGTTAGCTATCATCCATTTTTCCTTTCAGTCGATGCTGAAGAGAAAGATAAAATCGGACGATCCTTAGGACCTATTAATAAAGTAAGTTTAAATAACACAAGGGGGTTGACTCAACAATTTTAAGTCCAGATTTAAACCTTTAACTGTTGTACGAAGTTGATCTTGCAGGGATATAAAACAAAAATATTCAAGCAGGGGTATAATGAAAGATTATTGTCATAAGAGCAGTGAGGTTGATGAAAAAAATTGATCTTTCATTTTGAAAGATGGAATGAATAAAAATCTAAATTGAAAATGTAACTGAATGTACCGTGAAAGAATTATAGTGGGCGGAAGAAGTACCTATGAAATTGCATCCTTAACTTTTGTCCAAGGGTTTAACCTAAGATGATGTAAACCTTTAAGAATTTTGATAAAATTCAAAATCTGAAACTTCTGGAGCAAACAACGAGTTGCTTTATTGGTAAGCGTGCATACCATTTTTTATTTTACTCAGTGTCTGAAAATGAAAATGCCGCAGGCATTCATATAGAATCTGAACCTTGATTTTTGTACGCTGCATAAAAATTGTCTTGTTGAATAAGAGATGGAAAAATTCCCATACATATCTAACCTGCCTATGATTTTTGGTCTAATGGCTTTAAGAAATTAGTGTAGATTATCTGGGAGCGCTCTTCATTTATATCTCTATCCCATTCCACATTCCCTTAACTTACCTTTTTCTTTCAATGTCTACAGGTCATGTTTATAGCCAACAAAGGCGCTTTATGTTGTGGAGAAACTGTAGAAGAAGCATTTTTTAATGTGTACAATACTGTTGTTGCTTCAGAAACGCAGGTGAGCTCAATTTCACTTTCTTGAACTATTTTTGCATGCTTATTTTCATTACTGGATTGCTCCAAAAATTATAAGAGGCAAGATATAAAAACAATTAAAAAATATTTATTACAGCATTTGTCATTTAATGTTATATAGTTATTATTATGATTTTTGCTCTGATTGGAGGCACCATTTATTTTTACCAGAGGCATAATCTTACAAAGCAAATGTAAAAACTATAGCAATAATGTAATATTGTTACAAAATGAAACCTACTCTCATCCGATCAATAGAGATAAACAAGTTAAGGCAAACAAATACTTTTCCAGATTAAAGATCAATAAAATTTTCATTTTGATGAAGAAGGTGATATTTGTTGACCCAAATTTGTATCTCTTAATCATTTCATCTGGCCTTTTTTATTAAAATTTTTTTTTAGGTAATTTAAAAATTGCAATTTGAAGTTTAATCCAAGCATTGATAACTGAACTTCCACTATTCATGTAGCACTGTTCAGGTTTCTAGCATAATACATCAGTAAATGGGATTCTGTTCAAACGGTCCAAGATTTGATCAAATTTTTCAGGCTCTCAAAGTATTTTCCGAAGTGCCAATTTGTTGAATCTGTCTAATTTTGTCTTTCCCTCTTTTACAGCTTAAATTAGGACCCACGGTGAGCATTGATAATGTTCGAGTCATACCTGAAGAGGCAAGGAAACCCGGTAGCAATAAAACGGCGGCTATTCAGTTTGAAGCACTCATGCGAATGTTAGACAATGCTGGATTCCGTACGGGTTACATCTATAGACAGCCACTCGTCAAAGGAGAACTCCCACGGCCACGGAATGATGTTGAAGTTCCGCCAGCCGTCTCTTCCCTTGGTTACCTTCTTGAAGAAGAAGAAATGTATAAACAAGGGTAAGCATCATCAGTTCAGTTGCAAATAGTTTTACTGGTTGTCGGAATAAAAGAGTTTTTACTAAAATGCTTCGGCACCAGTTGATTTTGCGTCAGATTCAACAAACTGTTGAGGGATGAGTGTTGAGGAAAAACACATAAGTTCTTGAAATAACTTGTATTGAAAAACGTATTCAGAGAGATCACAATTTCACAAAAAAGCAGAAAGTCACACAAAATGCACCGTAAAAGAGAGAGAAGGGCACGACGTATCAGAGCACTAAGAATCACTAAGACCGTAGAGGAGTACAGGTCTAGGGTCTACAAGATGGGAAAAAAACCTAGATTTTAGGGCAACCCACGCTTATATAGTCTTGCTGACGTCACGGGTGGTGAGACAACAAGCCTACGCGTGATTGGTTGGCTATAATCTATGTAGGTATCAGTTGCAAGTCTAGTAATTAATTTATGGGTGATTATTGAAGATGGTTGGAGGATAAAGACTAAAAGTTGCAATGTGGACTGGATCCAGCCATCCCAAATGAGACTAGTAAGAGTTAAATGAAAATTTTAAAATATAGGGGAAAAAGATGAGAAGGTGTAGACACTGGTGCTTTAGCAAAGCACTACTAAATGTACTGACGTTCATGCTGAACATCCTTAAGTAGTATTTTTACCCTAATGGGTTAGTGGTAAATCACATCTGCAGTATATCTGACAGTTGTTCTTGCTATAAAATTTTATGAAAAAACCAAAGAGTCCATCTAAAAGTGTGAAAAAGCATTTCTAAGAGGAGATAATGCTAATTAAAATCCGACCAATTGAAGCCTGACAGTGGTGGATGACATAATTATGCCATGTCTTTGGCTGGGCTTCAGCCAGTCAGCAACTGTGGGCTCCCTAGCTTGCCCATTTCTTATGAGACCGCCAAAAATATCGTTTTTATGGGTCCAGATTATGACGACTTCAAAATTGAGTTTCTCCGTCATTTCAAGAACAAAAATCAGACAAAATGACTGGGAGCCCAATTCACTCACCACTTTCGGCAGTCATTCTGCAGAAGTCGTTGAGCAGTAGACCTGCACAAACGTATTTGCAACTTTTAAATTAGTATCGTAATGGTATGAATTTTTTCGAAATTCCATGCCATTTTGCACTTACAAAACAGTCGTGGACATTGAAGTGGAAGTATTGGATCTTAACGAAAAAACGCTGGAGAATTTTAAAAAATATTTTCATGAGGTAGCCTTCAAAAATCTTTAATCAGTAACTTCATTTTCCTTCTCATCATCTGTGTTTTCATTTCTTTCTTTACAGCCAATGGAAAAGGTATGCTGATGGCAGGAAAAGTCACGACCGCACACGCTGGCTTAACTCCCCCAACGTTTACCAAAAAGTTGAAATACTGGAAACAGGGACACCCGATCCAAAGAAAATCACAAAGGTAGAGATGATACATTTTGAGGATAGAAAATAGTCACTGAGATCAATGTAATCGATTGCGTTGATATTTACATTCCTTAATCTATCATAATCACAACTATGCTTCAACTTATTGAATTTACCCGAGTGTCTTCTCGATTCTGATGTCGATTTTTCTTCGGTTTCGTTTGGTTATTTTTTTTATTATTATTTTTTTTTGTGTGTTAGGCGATCAGGCAGGTTGTCAGCTTTTCTCAATTATTAGCAGTGTTAAGACCCTTTTTTTAGGGATCATATAGGCTTTATTTCATCTATCTAGATCTAAGTTAGCTTCCTTGAGGCGTTTCGTCTCTCGCAGTGTTCAGTCATTGTGTCAAATAAATTAATCTTACTGGACATTTTTCCACTTCAATATCGATTAGGTTTTTTCTAGTTGATCTCGCTTCGGTTGTCCACCTATTTATTGGAACGATTGCTTTTATGAGGGTGCATTTTATTTTCAAGACTGAAGTTTTTTGCCAGGTTAATCATCGATACGTACTATTTATCTTTATATTAAGTTTTCTGATTTGATCATGAATGCAATTTTCGTCCCCAACCAAAGTCGTTTAGGTGCATGTTTTCCCTGTATTTTTATCATGTAACTTCCTCTTGGAAATGAACAAAAATGCATAACGATTGACTCAAAACATCAGTTGGTGATAGTCAAGGTGGGAAAGTTTATGTAATGATAATTTCTCATTCTGAATTAACACTTTGATCATCATGGCGGCATGATGTGCCTCCCACTTCCAAGCAAGGCATTTGAACCTGAAATTTCTGTTCCTTTTATGGCGTCGAACTGCAGCTCTAGTGCGTCACTCACTCACAGTCAATCAGCTAAATTGCAATTCCATCAGCAATTCCAGCTAAATTGGAAAAGTGCGCTACCATTGTGATTTTGTTGCGTTTGCATTAAGAAGGCAATCCCTGAATAATGGATAGCGGATTTTTGCGTGTTTTTTGTGGCGGCATTGTATTGAACATTGTCAGGCTTCCAGGCCCTGATAGCAGTCAGAGTGTTATTTGTAAATGCTTTTATACTGTGTGCAGTTTTTTTTTCTCTCTTTTTTTTCTATACTATTTCGAGGCCAGTGCATTAAAGTTAGTTAATTATGGGTAGTTGGTTAAATTGTAGCTTTTTTATGTTCATATTTTGAGTTAAAAATTAGGGCCAAATCGATCGATTAATGCCAAGGCGATTGCCAAGGTACAGTCTTTATCCCTTCTTCTAGTGATTCTAAAATATCACCATTACGAAAATTTCACCTTGCCTTTTTCTGACTGAGTCTAGCGTGGAATATATTTTCTTAGTATGAAGGGGTGATAAGATACTACAGTGCCATAGGTTAGACATATATTCTTAAATGCATTGATTCTACAAACTGGAAATTGTATTCTTTCACTATTTCAATTGCCTAAGAATGACCAGTCTCTACTTTTCTGCTGCAAAATATTTGTCTATGTAAGGACAAGGTAGCTCTTGTTTTAAACTTGGAAATCTGAATTTTTTGAATTCCCATCAATACCTCCAAAGCTGACTTATATTCGTAGCGCAGAAGTTATACCTTGAGTTGTGTTGAATTGCTTTTCATCTCCAAGTTTTACCTGGTAGAAGGGGAGACACTTCAGTAATGCTAGGCTTTTGTGAAGGCTCAATTTGGCAGAGATTCATGGTAATCTGCATGCTTCAAAAAGTTTTTGAATGGACTTTGCACGGAATATCAAGAAATTTTGTGCCGGCCAAATTTTGAGATGTTTTGATATGATGCCAAGATCTCGTGAGCCAGATGAACTTTGAAAATGTAACTTTCTATTTGCCGATCTTGTGAAAATCGGGTCCGAAAAATTTTTTTGGCAATTATTATAAGTTATCATCAGAAGAAGTGGCACTGATGCGAAACCTCTCGTTTTGATCTGAGTTGACGCGCTGCCTTATCTCCTTTGCCAGCTCGAGATAAGAGAAAAGGAGCTTGCTTCTTGATGCAGGTAAAACTGCCTCAAAGTGCGTTTTACAGACCCTATTTTCCAGAGGTTAGGGCTCGTAAAGTTCGATTTTACAAGCTAATTTTACTCAAGAGATCGTAAGGAGTATGTGTATGTAGAAGCCGTACACTCGAAATGTAGCCATCATCGAACTCTTAGTATTCCATGCGTTGTCCTTTAATCAATTCATGGTTCAAAATGAGTACATATCGAAGTTGTTAATATATTTATTGTTGATGTATGAGTGTTGATGGGGAAACAAGAAGGTGAGAAAACAGAAAGCGGATTGTCTTCCATAATTGTAGAGCGATTTTAAACATTCCTACTTTTCGTCGCAGACGTTTCTACAAAAAATACGAGGTTATCAGGTGTTAGATATCTTGTTGCCTAACCTGTCTTTTATCTTTCCTTGAGAATAATACCAGCTATTGAGTTGTGAATATTACAACCATTCTCAGCTAAGTACTGAAGTATCCAGTTTCTTTAACTATTAATCCCTTGGTTACGATATTGTTCGCTTTCTTTTCTCTTCATGTGTTACTTGAGTTAAAAAAACGTAATTATCATTGTATGTGTTCTATTGTGTTTAATGATTATTTAGCTTAGCTTAGCAGTAAGAGAGACTGTATTTTGTTGGTTTTAAAATTTAATAAAGGATTTATGCTTCAAACTGGAAAACTGCAATAATTTTCTTTCACCATCCGAGGTAACACAGGGCTCCATTAGTCTCGATAGTCGAAAAGTCAAACATTTCTCTCAGTTTTTTACACAATGGCATTTTAAAGAAAGTTAAAAGTTTCCTAACTATAATTTCTAAAGTAAAAATCCATTTCACTAAAATTCATAGTGATGTAGGTAAAATAGCAGGTAAAATGGCAAGTATCATTACTAGGAATTCTATCAAAGGTTGGTTGTGTAAATCACCCAGAACAGATGTTACATCTTACTTCTCGTAAAATAATTTTTTTGTTTTTCGTTCTCCGTATTTCTTGAGAGCTCTTTGATTAAATATTTGCTCCAATTTGTCAGAGCATTTTTCTAAATATGTAATGTCAAGCTGTTACTCCCGAGTTTAGGATTATTTTTATTTCCTCTTAGACGCATTTTTAGGAAGCCTATCTATTCGCTTTTTCGTTTGTCCCTTCCTGTTTTCTTGCTTCTTCTGTTGTGTTTTCCTTTCCTGTTGCAAGATTGTTTTAACTTTGGATGATAGATTTTATGTTCGTTTCCCCTCCTTTTTCTCACCGCCAAGTTGTTGCATGGTTGTCGATTTTAATGTCAGCTTTACAAATACCTACTCAACGTCCAGCTGGAAAAATGTTTTTATTGGTGTAGCAAGGTTTGTAACCCATTTTGTGCACGTAAAAAGTTTGTATAAGCAGATGTTGGGTCAAACACTGCCATTCCAATGGAAATTTTCTCCTTCTGAATGAAATAAAACATGCTTCTCAATGTGAATTAACCGCAAATGCTCCTTACCTATGTGATCATGCAATCTAGCTTTAACTAAGAAGAATTCATTGTGAATTGTTCCGTATATCGATGGCTAAAACGAAACCTTATATCTTTGCTTACTATGTTGCAGACTTCCTGTCGTTCTTTTTTTATTTATTTATTTATTTATCTATCTATTTATTTTTTTGAAAGAAGTGGACGTATCTTCTTAAAAACTTCCTTGATTTTCCTTCTCAGTCAGCAGAATATTTTATATGTATATATTTCAAGTGACATAGTTGGCTTGTTTCTCTTTGAAAAAATAAAATAGGAGCGGAAATGTTGACCCATTGCAATAAAGATACGTGGTTTTCGACTTTGGCCATTGATATTTTGTGGAAGGAACATTCTTCTCTCGTTTAAATTCATTTTCTTTCATCAGAAAGTTCCGGTATGTTTCAATATTTTTGCTGTAAGAATTTATTGAAAGTTCTGAGTGCCGAAATCAATTTAGGTATTTTAATTTTCTAGCCAACAAGTTGTAATTATGCTGGTGATTGTCTAACCTGAGAGTTAGTAACCAGCAGAAAGAACCAACATATAACATTAATATTTAGGTGTGTTTCCTTATGAAAATTATTTTTCTTGCCATGTTTTGCAACAAGTCTATCCTGTAGCAATCTGAAAGTAAACAAGTTATCTTGCTTAAGATTAATACCAACCTTTCAATCCGTTTTTTAAAATCCAAAGAAAAAGTTTTATCTAAGTATCAACCAGAACATGGCCGGAACCGATTCCCCTCAAAATATGACTCCTTAGTCAATCTCTTCTAGCTGGTCATGTCTACCCGCGTGTCATCATTTCAAAATCTTGTCTTGGATGAAATGTCACATTTTTAGACGTCAGTTTATCCTTCATCACCAATAAATTGTATAATTTCTGCTCCTCCCACTACTTTACTCTCGCACCAATAGACATGTGGCTCTAAATAAGTACAGGAGAAAATAAACCATCAAATTCAAACCTACTTTTCCTCAATCTGAAGTTCAGTGGACGGCAAAAGTATAAAAATTAGGTTCTTTATCTTGTAGACCAGCGAATGTTATCTGCTTTCCTAGAAATCGATTTTGAAGATCTTTCATGAAAGAAGCTCAAAATTTTAGCCTCTATTATTTTTTGAAAGTTTATGTCATGGTCAGTTTCTATATTATTTTGTGTGCTGTGTATTATTTTGTTTTCTATTTATTTAAGGTAAATGATAAAATCGCTCACCAAAAACTACACTGAAGTTAGTGTTAAGTTGATGATAGCTGAGAAGTGAATTTTACTTCTTAATGTACATTGTACTTTATTCAACATAAAGTCATTCCTCATTAAATATTTCCTTGACAAATGTACGACTATCTGTAAGGGACTGTTCATGCTTGGCGTTAACTATGAGGACCCTCACGACTTCAGTTTGAAAAAAAATGTTTTTTTTTTTTTTTTTTAAATTATCAGCAGCTCATTGAACTGTTGTCTTCATATTTTATTTAAAATTTGTTGATGAACTTATTCAACAACACAAGCCTACAAGTTTTAGACAGTTAAATTTATCTACTTTCTTCTCTTATAATTTTTTAATGTTTCTTTTTTTTATCCTTTTGAAACCATTTTATTAACTTGTTTTAAATTTTCGTTTAGTTTTCTTTTCATTTCAGTTTTTCAGTTTTTTTTTATTTTGGTTTTTTTTGTGTTGATTTTTTGTTTGTTTTTGTTTTTTTAGTGGGTGGACGCTAATGCTGAAGAGGTAAAAAATTACGCTCTTTAAATCGGTTTAACTGCACCTTTATCACCTTGTGGTGTCAGGGGCAGCACAATCTATCTCTTATGCATGCCATCCACCAGCAATGCACTGATTCGTTGGGCTTGGCTCTGTTGTTAAATGCTTGCTCAATTGTGTCGTTAGACACATTTTCTCTCGCTTGAGAGAAGCTATCATTTCTCTTTTTCTTGTTCCTCTTTCGGGAGGGTGGCAATCCCAAACATTGCAGTAATACCATGTTGTTGCGTTTACTCCTGTTTCGTTTTAAAAGGAAAAATAATGTGAATTAGGATGCATTATTTGTTTTAATTATTTCGCATTATATTTTTCTAAGCTGCTTTTCAACCAATTCTTCATTTTGAAAGATTGATATCTGGATGGTATGGCAGTCATCACCTTGGTTTTCCCTTCAATATCCGTCCTGTAACTCCCTCAATATCCAGCCATAGTGTCTTAATCACAGGCCCCATCGTCCTCTCAGACTCTGATTTCTTTTCTTTTCTTTGGCATCTTCAATTCCTGTACATAGAGAGTTGATATTTGTTGATAGTTTGTTGTACAATGAGATACCCATGACTTGGGTAACATTGCGAAACATCCTAATTTATGAAGTGCGTTTCGATCCCTTATTTAAATGTGGCTTTAACAAAAAAATCATAAGTAACGCAATGATCTAGTTTGAAAGTGTCTTGAATCCAAGAGAATTAGATTTTTTTTGCCTCTCATTTCCCTGCCCAGCTAAATAAAACGCAGGTGATGATTTTCCTTGTTCCATTTTACTTTAGCGTCCTATTTTATACCCTACCTTTAGCTTTGTATTAGACCCACCAATCAAATTAAAGTATTATTTGCTTGCACGAGCATGTATCCGAGCATGTCCTCCGATCATTCAAATTTTCTTAGGAGGAACATCTTGATATTCAAAGGTGCCTTTTATTTTCAATTCTTCTCTCTTGCACGGTGCTCAAGTAGGGACTAATTTTTTTTTTTTGTATAAACTTCTTTCAAAAACTCACTGATTTATTTATTGACAGCAACCCCTAAAACTCAGCATTTTCCCCTTTAATGGTGCATACTTCACGCTTAAGTGTCCCTTCCTCCTTGACATTTTAAAGTGGTATTTTTGTTTTTTCAGTTTTTCTGTGGGTTTTCTCTGTCCTCACTTCTAAACCCAACTTACTTTTTGTTTATTATTATATGACAACCTATTCTATCAGCCATTTAGAGAACAATAGAATTCGCTAGCTAGAAAACTTAAAACATATAAAAAAGCACATACATTGTAACTCAATAGTTTTTAAAAATCGCAATTTCAGGATTCAAGCTGTTCAAAGTTTGATTTTTCCCTGTAAGGGTCACTCAGTTTTTTTCTGGAAAGTGTAAAACCTTGTCATGATAAAAAGGTCTTTCCAACCGCATTTTTGATTCATCTGAAATACCATTTCATCACATGAATGTTTGTTCGTAAATTATGAATTTTATTATGAAACAGAATTTGCACACAAAAATAAAAGATGCATTGTGATATGTTTCCGTAGCCAAATTCAGTGTTTTCTCTCTGAATCTTACAAATTTTTTCATCACAAATGACCATGTAGACTTTCGTGCAGGGTGTCGTTTTTGTTGTTAAAAAGGTAGAATCTGCCAAGAGCCTTTACTTAATCAATTCAAAATATTGTACGCCAGCTCAGATGCACCGGGAGTGGGAGATTTATCACTTGAAGCAGTATCTTTCATTTCCTGGTAGCAGGGGTATCGAAGAAACGCGAGATTCTGAAGTCAAATGCTGACGCCTATGAAAACTCTTTTGGAATGTGTTAATCTTTGTGGAGCGCCATGATTTACCTCATCCAAGTTGTGTAGCTGTGCTACAAATTCCAGACAGTTGTATTGTTCATGACTGAATTGTTTTAGTGAAATTATTTAATCTTGCAAGGCCCAAAATTGCACAGCAAAACCAGGCCAGGATTTTAACATGTTTTTTTTTCATTGAGGTCTTCGAAAATTTGTCATGATATCTACTAACAATTTTTTTCACTGTAAACCTTTTCTTATCACAGCTTTGCCTCTTGAAAAAGCAATCTTTGTTGAAGGACTTAGTGTTTTCAGTTTTCAATGCCATACACCATGCTCATGAGAATTTGCGTTAACTGCATGTTTGCCTCGGCTAAAAGTTACCAGAGATTTATTCAAGTCCTCTTCCTCCTATGCTTCTCCTCAGAAGTCAACATTTTGTGGGTATCTCTTTACCTCTCGTGCCCATGCTTTTTCTTACCCTCTCAAAATTGATGCAAGCAACTATAATCTCTTTAAGCATCAAAATAAAATTTCCTTATAATGGGAAATTTGAGTGAATTGTAGTCTGTTCTCTTCTTTTTTCAATTTTTCGTTTTGCTCTAAGGAACAATTCTCAGTTTGCACATGCTTTTTTTTTCCATGGTAACGTTTAATATAAAATACTCTCCTCTATTTTATTTTTATGCCATTTATGTTTTATTTTGAAAATGATTATTTTTTATGTAATGGCCTGGTTTTGTTTGTGCAGTGGGTAGTGGATGGTTCTCCTACACATAGCAGTACACCCGTGAAAATCGACAGTGCTCTTCAGTTTGTCCCGAAGAACACTCATCCGAAAGAATTCAAATTGCTTCAAAAGCAGGTCAGTTAACTTCTTATTTTTATACAAACCTTTTTTGCAGCATTCATTTAAAAAATGCCAGGAATATGGTAACATATTCTGTAGATCCAGACTAGCAGGCTGATCATTGAAATTCTGTTTAATTCTCAGGAACAAAAATCGTCAATGTACCTAGTTTTCTTCGACACAAACTCCCAAGCTCGTAATAGCTCCTAAAGTTGAAGCCGGAATGGACAAGATCACTAGATCACCCATGTTTTGGTGAGAGTGAACCCTTATATTCAGTGAAACTCTCCATGTACAGATAGGGAGAAAATTCATTAGCATGGTTGGTGTAGAAGCAGCCTTGGAGTCTTTGCCCAAAGTGGAAACCCTGCAAAATTTGCTTTCTGTCTGTATATGGAGAGTTTGTCTGTATATGGAGAGTTTGTCTGGATACATAGGAGGGCACATACCATAAAATAGGTGATCCCCTCTATTAAAGCCTCAATTTTTAGAGCTTTTTTTGAGCTTACTTAAGTTGTACATCTCTGTGGCATACAAGAGCTTCATTTTACGAGATCATCTCAGTTATAAGAAGAATATGAACTCAATTAGACCACATGTTGCAATGGGGAACCACTATCTTTGGCTCGTTTCAGAGACAACATGTGTGGTGTTGGTTTCCTTATGGAGATAGGTGTTTCTGTGGGTAAGCCAGAAATATGTAGTAGCTCCTATTTGCAAAATGTAGTCCAATTAAAGCTTAGGAAAAGGATACTTCTCACACTAATTTTTAAGTTTTCAGGGTCAAACTTGCGCCTAAATGTTTGGATTTTTTCCTCCATGCTTTGATAAAGTTACAGAAAATTCCCTTTCGCAAGATAAGGTCTCTTTTCACAGATCTAATTACATTTTTTTCCTAAGATTATGTTTTAGTCATGCTTATCGCAAATGAAAGTCGATCATGTCTTTTCTGTCTTTAATGTTTGCTGGTTTTTTCTGTTTATAGATAAAAGAAAATAGGAGAGCTGATAAAATAACATCCGGACCTCAATCACATATTCTGGAAGGTGTTTCTTGGGAGGAAGCAAAGAAATTGCAAGTAAGGCAACACTTTGCTCATTTTACTATCCGGCTTTGTAATTTTATTTCACCTACCTTTCTTAAATTTGATCCTCACTGTTTAAACCTTTATGAATTGATGGTAGCTCATTACATTTTTCCTTGCTTAAAACTCACTTGTGAGTTGATTTTATCGAACTGAAAACAATTTTAAATCAACCATTACCATTCATTTCACAAGCTGTGTTACCCTTAATATTTTTCTCCCTGAGAACCTTAACGAACTTCTGATATTAATTTATGACCAGGTAGGAGCGTTTACTAACATTTTAACTTACGACTTATTTTGGACAGCAATTAATTGGATTTGATTTCATAAAATGAGATTTCTCGGTGAATCTTTTTATTATCTCATATCAAAGGTAAAAATCCAGTGTTTTAAAAATTTCTTCCTACGGAAAATTGAATGTAAATTTGTGTATTTTTTAAGGATGCTAATGTCACTGAAACTGGAGATCAAGTCATTGTTGTCGGAGCAGCCTCAAAAGGTATCATTCAACGAGAATTTCAACATCATGCTACTGTTTATAAAACACCTTATGCCAAAAATCCATTTGACACCGTGACAGACCAGGAGTTAGAAGACTACAAAAAAGTTGTCACCAGGAAGCAGAAAGGAGAATATTCATGTGAGTCATCTAAATTGTTTTTTTTTTTTGTTCGTCACTTAGCTGTTTAGGAGGATTGTAGCCCATAGTTAGTTTGCATTCATAAATTTTAGAAATTTTTGTAATTTTAGTCATTACTAGAGACTTTGTGGCTGTTGGTTTGACCAAAGGAAAGGAGTCTACATTAAAGGACTGATTAAAAGATTTGTCATGGTAGAACCTTTAAAGACTGGCCATAGTCCAAAATGCGTCAGGTAAAGCGAATCTAAATGAGCGGCGAGTGCTACCTAAAATATTTTAAGAAAGAGCTGACTGATTAAAAATTAGTTGAAGGATTTCATAGAGTCCACTATTACATCAATATTCTGAATCTTGTGACAAACGTCTAAACCGTATGTAACTCACTGTCAGTTACAATTGGTTCGGAAGAACTGGTTTTGAGAGACTGTTGTGATTGATCAAGCAAAATAAACGTGAAATGAACGTGAATCTCTGTGCGTATCTCCTACGCATTGATGGAACATGTCTTCTACAAGTTACAGGATTCCCAGCATTATTGCAAGGATATTGGATCAGGAATATTTTCTCAGTTAAGTGTAGTTTGACAAGCAACCTTTTTCCCGTCACTGGTCCACAAAATTGTCTCATGTCCAAACATGGTTAGCTTAGTCTTAATGTTTTTTTGGGAAAAAAGAAAGAATAATACACTGTTGGCTTATAGATTTTGATAAAACATACGAAAATCATTGTCACCTTGCAAAAGTCATTTTATGAAAGGACGTTTTTTCAAATGTCTGTGTAGTATTTCTTTGTTTTTTAGCATCCTTTACTTCTTTCTTTGGCTACCAGTCTGAATTTGCCTTACTTCGTCGTTGGAACAATCTACGCTGAAAATAACATTACTTATTCATAGTCATAACCACCTCTATTTTTTTTCAGATGACGATTCAGAAAGTGAAGGATTCTCCTCTTCTGCTGCCTTACCACCATCAGGACGAGGTTTCATCAGTGAAACTGAAGATGATAGTAGAGGAGGTATGCTTGGACCAGTATTTATTTACTTTTTATTGCGATTTTTTCTTTTGCTCTCATTGTTAGGTTAATATATTTAATACAACTGGTACTGTAATTACTGAAATTTTAAGAGAATAAAAAATGAACGTAATGAAAATAATGTTATGTACAATAATACTAATCCCCTTAGGAAATACAAGATGTAAAATAAATTAAATAAGAAGAAAAAAACCCCAAGGAAGCTACTTGTAAGCTTGGATCTAAGATTGCATGATTACCAAGAGATACGATCTACGTTTCTATAAAAATCAATTGTAGCTGACTGAACCGACAGTTTTGGCTCTATTTCTGATTGCATAAGAGAGCAATCCAAAAGGCATGTGGGGGATCCCTTCTTTCAAATTATTCAGCCCTTACTCCTTTCGCATAATTTGTATTTGTATTTGAAGAATTTGGATTGTTAATATTTCAATTTTGTTCCACGATTTGTCCAGAAGCGAGAGTGCTCCGAATAGAAACCAAACAAGTTCCAAGGGCCAGTAAAGCAGAGGTTGTTCTCAGCGATGGTGAGTCAAGATTTTCAACAATGTTTCTTTTGATTGCACGGTTTTTTTCTCTCTCTGGTCTTGTCTTTTCGCATAAGCAGCATATGAATAACAGATGTTAGGCTCTAGGTGGCAGAAAAACTTATATTTATACATGTTTGAAGGATATGGAGTGTAGGTATTTATCATTTAAAATAACCGGTCCTCTACTCTCATTTTTTTACTCAAAATTTTAGGGATTCGTTTGTTCTGTCCCAATGGACCAGTAGACAAGGCACAAATTTCAACATTCTGATACACATTTCATGACCAAAATTTCACGTAGAACACGATGCGCACAACGAAAATTACCGAAATCAACTTCTTACGAAGATATTTAATGATTCTTGATGCGCGATTTCAAACCACCCGCTCATAAAAACTCAATGCTCTATGTGACTCACAGCGCCAAACGTTATCATGGCAGTCTCTGCGATATAAAAATCTGGCAACCTTAATCTTGAAGCTTTGGCTCAGCTATAGCAAGCTGTTCATAGTTTGAACAACACATGGTGGGAAATGAACATTGCTCGATCGAGAAGCTTGCTGGAACCGTTGTAGTGGACGATTTGACTCACGTAAAGCTTTGAGTTTCTCGTGAGCGGGCAGTTCAAATTCCTTGTAACTAATGTGAAAGAAAAACGTTAATATCTTTGTTAGGAGTTGATTTCGGTAATTTTCGTTGTACGAATCGTGTTCTACAAGAAATTCTGGTCAAGAAACATGTATCAGAATGCTCAAATTTGTACCTTGTCTAGTGGTCCATTAAATTTTTGGTGTTGGACAAATTTAAAACTGTCTCAAATATTGCACATTCAGTCGTATCTCTTATCCATATGCTGTTTTTTTGGTTGTTGTTGTTTTTACAAAGTCTTCATGGGTGGGCAGGTCTAAAAAAGCTCTGCATTTCTGAATGGTTGAATGGTTCCCTGTATTGTGCAAGAAAGATGAGGCAGTAGTTTGCCTTTCAGGGATTGAATTCTTGTTCAATGAAGTGGCCACTACGTACGCGTTGACTGAAGCATTAAAAGTGAGGTTTAGAGTACCCTATCTTTAGACACGCAAAACTTTTCTACTCCAATATTTGCTCTGGGGGTGTTTCCTTTAATCCTGCTCAATTTGCCTCCTTGTTGTCTTGCCACGAAGCCCTGAAACCTTGATGTATTGCAGATCTTTTCATGCAGAGGTACTTACCCAAAATAGCCCGCCAGTTTTTTTTAAAGGTTTCGTTTGGTTTTATTTTATTTCACCAACAGAGTTTATTTTTAATGAGTCTTATGGTTTTCTCGTGTGAATTGTGTAGTTGAGTCGGAGTTTTTTTCGCAGAGACAGATGCTGTATCGTGCACCTTGATCTTGAGTTGTTGTGCCTCTTTAGCGCCTGTGCATTCAAACGCCTGTAAATAAAGCACTAATAGCCCTGAGATAAGCTCAATACTTCCCTTCTCTCAGGCATTCTAATTCTTTTACTTCACTATTTTCCCATTAATTCAATACCTAATCCTTTTTCATAAATGGTTTTCCAATTCCTCATCAACGGTTTTAGAGAAACCCCATTGTTGTGGAGACAGGGGCTGCCCAATTGCAGATTTCTATAAATTTTATTTGATTCTCCAGTTCAGACGAAGTTAATCCGTGTTTGTCAAGATGCCCTTTGGAAACTAAGCAGTTACCGATTTTCCCTCTGCATTCAACAAGATGGCAATAAAATGATATCACATAATTTTTACCGATCAAAATTTCTGTATAAACTTATTGCTCACAAAAGAATATGATCTGAAGCTGGTGATTTTACTTATTATGAAATTGACTCAAGTAAAGCAAGAGCAGCAATCCTAATTTGTACAAAGGCCTTCAAATGATCAGTTTTTTGGATCGGTCAGATATGAGATTATACTCAACAAAAGCAGTCACTGATAATGGAGAAAAAAGGAAACACTTATTTTCCTAATCCGGATTTGGGACATGACAGAATTGCAATTCTATTCATTGCACATCCTAATCCTTCATTATTGTTTATTTTTTCTCCCATACTAACTTACAAAAATGGGTTGAGTTTAAGTTGGCATTCAGTTGTCATATCACTTTTTGGCTGAGTAATTTTTATTTTTTACATGAATCTCACATTATACACTATGAGCTTTCAAAATTATTGTGAATAAAATGCAACTTTCAAAAACTCTCCCTTGGCCTTGAAAATCGCTTCTATCAAATTGCAGTCATTGTCCAAAGACCAATAACTGGAGTAACTCGCTCTTCTTTTTTTAGCTTTCTCTCATGCCCTTCAACCCATCCCTTTTTTTGTAAGTTAGCTGTTCTTTCATCTGGTTTTTTTTTTTTTTTAATGCCCTGTGCTTGCTACCATTATTTCACCTGGTGTTTTGTTTTGGCATGTCTCCTAGCTTTAACCCCTGCTCTTAAGAACAGTGACAGTGGATTGTCTGTCTTGCCCAGTTCTCAGCCCAAAGATAATGATTTAGAACCCTCTTATAGCTCCGATGTTGTGACAGTATTTTACGCTCCATCAAAAATCTCTTCAACAATTGTGTCCTTGCCACCTGATGATAATGCACACCATTTATCGCACAGAGAAAAACTTCATAACATTCACCTTGAACTAACCGAACGCTTCACCATTAGTCATGATCTAGGATCAGGCAGTCTATTACCAAAAAGTAGTCAATTAGTTAAGATGTGTAGGGATAATCTGAACAAGATCTGTGACTCTGAAAGTTTTGAAAAAGATAGCTTAAGTCTAGGTATTCCAAGTAGCAGTTTTGCCTCAGAAATCCTTCCAATTTCCAAATCTGGTTATGTAAAAGATAGTCTAGACTCAGATGATGTGCATGGTGTTTCAAGCTCTTGTGCGCTCAAAGACAGCTTGGACGATGCTCCTCTAATAGCCTCAAGTTCCTCCGTGGAATCTCTTCCTGCTGATGGAGAATCAGATCCTGTGAATGATATTTCAACTTTTATTGCTTATCAGGGAACAGTTTTCGATCTGAATAGCTCCCAAACTTCCTCTTGTCCCGACAGGAGTTCAGATAACGAAGCCACATTGGAAGATGGGGATAACTCTGACAGTGTTTTTGAGTCAAACTGCCCCCTGTGCAACAAGTGGTGTGACCATCCGAAACTCGGGCTCAGCCCATGCACAAGTAATGAGTCCCAAAAGACATGCAAGCTCTCAAAAGAGGACTTTGATGTTGGTTTCAAAGTTGGAAGTTTTGATTCCTGCAAATCAACACCACCAGAAAGCGAGGCTGATGATTTGGATAGCTCATATCAGAATTATAATATTTTTGATTGTGATGATTATCCAGTAATGCAGGCAAAGTGTGCTATAGTTGAGCCTGTGCAGCCATCAATCAATGTTTCAGCCAGTAAGTTACCAAAACTCTCAACAATAACAGAAGAAAGTCATGCGGATGAGGATAAAAGTTCTGATCAAAAGAAAGAAGAGGAAAATTTCTCAAAGTATTTTGCCAAACTCGTCGCTACTAATAACATGTCCCCGGAAGAAAAACAGACTAGTAGCTCAGGTAGTGACGATAGTCCTCTTTGTGATGAGTTTTATCCCTTTTCAAGTGGTAATGAAGTTTCTGTTGAATCTTCAAAAAATCGCTGCAGAGAGCCGGCAGTGTCTCATTTGAAGCTATCAGCTGCTAATAATTCTAACACCAACTGTGACTGTAATTTTACATCAAGAAGAAAAAGCTGTCCCTCCAGCCATTGTGAATATCTTGTTGAGAGTAATGAACCAAGAGAAGTTGTCTCTGATACCGCTCTCTCAAGCTACAAGGAGTCATCAGGTGAAAGATATGACTCAGTGGCATTAAATACTGACAGTGAATCTCCTGAATTAACGCAGAGCAAGGAGTCTGTTAGCAAGAAAGCTTCTTTGAGCACCGCTACAGAACTCTCCAGTGAAGGAGCTTTCGAAAGTCCAGAGCAGCATTGTAAAATATCTCCGATTGATGCTAACAAGAATGTGAGTGAAACTATACATTCTTCAGTCAATGTGGTCTGTGGTGCTTCTGATTGTGAAGGAAACTCTAAGATCTCATTTGATGACGATGACTCAATCGAAGTAATTTTTCCACCCAAGGAAAGCAGTGACAACATCTCCATCCAGGTGATTTTTGAGCAAAATAAAAGTGAGAGCCCCTCATCTAACCAAGAAAAGACCGCGGAAGATGATAGTTCCTCCAACTCCAAATCATCCGAGAGCTCTGCCCTGGTGGGTTGTCAAACCTCATTGTCCCAGAATATTTGTTGCGACTTGAAACTTCAAAGAAAGCATTGCGTTTGTGCAAGATCAGAGTCTGAGGCTGATAACATCAGCACGGATGAAAATATCGATGATCATCATTTTTCAATTCAGTCATCCGCATGTGAAGACACTGAAATGAGTGGAAGAAAAGGAGTGTCTGATAATGTTTTTTCCACTTACTCAAGCTCCTCTGGAGTTGCTGATGACCTACTGATCAAAGATGCGCTCTCTCCTGATTGTCAAAATTTAAGAAGAGATTCTCCTTTACTTGGTCAGCTATTTTCAGATTCCTTCTCCTCTGATCCTCAGGAATATCATACGAACAAATCTAGTGTAAACTCTGATTTTAGCGTTGTCGGCAAACAAACTGAAAGTGACATCCCTGCAGGTAAACTTTGCGCTAGAAGCATTTCTGATGTTCTTTTAGGAGAAGACGCTTCTTTTAACCTTAAATCCAGTGCCAGTTCTGACCTTGACGAAAGTATCCAGGCCCCATTATGCTACGATACAAACATTTTGAAAAACCCGCCCGCTTGTGCCAACTCTGAATCTGATGCTGACTTCGAGTCTGAATCAGAAATATTAAGTGATCTAAACATGCTTTTCAATCCGTTTAGTAGCATTGAAGGCCCTGCTTGTGCCAACTCTGAATCTGATGCTGGCTCTGAGATGTCTGACTCTGAATCGGAAATATTAAGTGATTTAAACAT